ATGGGAGGTGAAGATGACTCCAACTTACCCAGTACAGTGGTCTGGTGGTCCAGTGTCCTCTGCATCTTGGTAGTGTGGAACCAGGTGGCTGTACAGAGAAGAGGCCAGAGGAGCGGGGTGGGGGGTGGGATGTCCAATGGATTGCTGCCGAGGCGCGGGCTGATTTGGCATGTTCCACATGACTCGCCAGATTATTAATTTAAACTGTAACTACATTATCTTTATTATTATAGTTTGTTAGATATAGCTGCATCTCTAATACTCTAGAAAGTATTATGGAAAAAATTCTTGATTTTAATCATTAGGATATTAAATGCTTAGAGATAATTTGGATAGATAATCTGGTATGTGTGCAATATGTTTCCAAATGCTTTCAGAGCTACTGGGCAAAGAGAATGCAAACTTAAATAGCGCAAACTATGGAGCACTACTGAAAATACAAAACAAAAAGTGAAAAAGTGAGACATGAAGTAGAAGTAGATAAGATTGGCATCCCTGGGGAAAATGAATCCTGCACTACATACTGGAGCAGTCCATATGAGTATATAGGGAGGAGAGGAGAGTTCAGGTGGGAGGCAACTTCATTTAGGCCAAAAACCTGTTACCAATCAGAACTAGAATAGAAAATTCTAGAGCTTTTCTGTACTACTAGTTGTTGGACATCTTTTTGGTGACTAATATTAGTAATAATATTTTGTAGCACGTTAGCATTTACCAAACATTTTTCACTTACTTTGATACAGTTCAGTGGGTCAAAACAGCCTTGTCTATTTTCTTTTAGATCCTAGGTCTAAAGCTGGATCATTGTTAATTGGTGTTTCCATTTTATACTAAGTTCTCACTAAAACTCAGATTCTGAATGTTAGAGAAGCTTACTTCTAAAGAAGTCCTTTCACCAGGGAATAGATATTAGTCATCTAATTTTGAGTTAAAAAGATGAACCTGGATTCATCTTTAAAAATTAAGAAATGTTTTTTCCACTTAAATAATTTTTTTCAATGAAGAAAAATTCTGTGAAAAGTGCCCCTGAGATATTTACAAAATATTTAGCATAAGATATTGCATCAAAGTTCTCATCACTGTTGCTCCAGCTAACTGAGGTATACTATCAGTAAATAAACGAAAAACCCTAGCGATGTCACATGATCCAGGTGAAAACTTCCTCAATGACAAGTGTTTTGAAATGTTAAGAATTGTGAGACAGCTGGACACTTTCAGTAGTGAAGGTTACCATTTCAGCATTCTAGATCTGTGTAACCAAATACTGATGACCTTCTCTTGATATAAGTTGACTGAAGAATGGAAGGGAGATAAATTTTTCTTTTTTTGTATTTGTTTTGTTTATATATTGTATATTTGTTTTAATACAGTCATCTGTCACCTCTTTGTATTGCCTCTTTATTCACTGTCTTATTTTACCTGTGTGTAGAGGACAGAAAGCACAACGCAGAGAAAGGAGGAGGAAAGGGAAACCATAACCCTCCAGAAACTCATCTCTCCATATGTTTTCTCTTATGATAGCAACAAGGGGTGCAGATCTTCATAATGCTCTACAAAGAGGTGGAGCTCGCCCTGGGAATCAACAGTGAATATAGCAAGCGGACTTTAGTGCGGCTGCACCCTAACATCAAGGTATCCACGTTCATCCTGGTGACCAGTGTTTCTTTATTATTTTGCAGGAGTCTTTCAGATGTTGCTTTGGGCAGTCAAAATCTATAGACTTCATATATATATATATATATATTTTTTTTTTTTTTTTTTTTTTTTTTTTTGGACCAGAGATTGAACTCGGGTCCTTGTGCTTGCAAGGCAGGTACTAGAACCACTAAGCTAAAACCCCAGGCTGGTATTATATTTTCTTGCACTCCTTACATTGATGGGGGCCAGCATATATCATTTTTGTGTTTTTCTGGCCCCAATTGAAAGTGATAGTTTAGCCAAGAACATGCTCTTTATAGTTGTTTTAATATTCAAGAGCCCTGTCAAGTTGCAGACTTCTCATTAAGATTATGTTGGAACCACTTAAATATGATGTGCCTATGAAATCCCCTGATCAAAGCAGTAAAGAGATCTCCTGCAGGATTCAAAATGCTTTTTATGGATTTTTGGGGGGAGGATGGCTAGTACCCAGTGTAAAATACTGATAAAATAGCTGGATGTGGCAGTGCAGACCTGTAATTTCAGCACTCTGTGAGGTGAAAGCAGGAGGACTTCAAGTTTCAGCCCAGCCTAGGCAACTTAGCAAGCCTCTATCTCAAAAATGAAGAGCAAAAACATTGGAGACAATCTGAAAAAGGTCTTCGAAATTTCACCAAAACCCTGAAGCCTGTCAAGAAATATCACCTTACCTCAGGCCGGGGATTTAGCTCAGTGGTTCCGGCACCTGCCTCACAAGCACAAGGTCCCGAGTTCGATCCCCGGTACCAAAAAAAACAAAACGAGAAATATCACCCCTTCATTGAGATATATCATAACTTAATGAATTAATAAATCTCCAGCAGGCTTAAATATATAATTATGTATTTAATTTGATTGAAAATTTCTCCCAGAGAATGAATTGAGTTGAATTATTTCTAAACATTGTTCATTCACCAGATTGCTATCCAGTACTGACTGAAGATGTGATATTGTGACATCAACAACTGAAAGCTACAAGGGCAGAGCTGCTAAAGAGGCAGTTTCTGTATGCTGTTGGATTAACTCAGTATAAATTCAAATTCAAATTCCTAAATTAGGATGTTAAATGTAACCATTCCATTTACCACCATAAAGAAGCACACCATAAAGAAATAACTATGGAATATTCACAAAAAGAAATGAAATTGGAATTTAAACATTTCACTACAAAAAAATCAACCAAACACAAAGTAGACACTAGTGCAAGGAATGAGGGGCAGAAAAGTCATAATACATATAGAAATCTAAGAGCTAAATGACAGAAGCCCCATTTTATCAACAAATATTTTGAAATGTAAATGAATCGTACTGCCCAATCAAGAGACAAAGATTACCAGAATGGATTTAAAAAAAAAAACACAATCCAGCATGTGGTATGTGCAAGAGACTCATTCTAGATACAAAGACACAAATAGTTTGAAAGAGAAAGATTGAAAAGGATATGCAAAGAGTAACCAAAAGAGAGCCAAAGGTGCTAAACTAAAAACAGACAAAATGGGCTTTTAAATATAAAAAAAGTTACAAGAGACTAAAGACATTATATATTAATAAAATTTCAATACCACAAGAAGACACAAAGTTTATAATCATTTTTAAATAAGAGACTAAATAAAATATATGAAGAAAAAGGGAACTGGAGGGAGAGAAAGACAATTCTACAATAATAGTTGGAGGCATCAATACCTGACTTTGTAATGGATAGAACAACCAGAAAGAAGATAAGTAAGGAACTGGAGGACATAAAACCAGTAACCAGCTAGATCTAATGGACATAGGCAGAACTCCCTTCCCAACAGCAACAGTACGAACATTCTTCTCACATGGGAAATAGAATACTTTGGGACTCAGGATATTTTCCAGGAGAGATCATCTGTTAGACTATGAGTGGTCTTAATGGATTTTAATTGGCAGATATTATACAATCATTTTCCTAACCATATCAGCATGAACGTAGAATTAATAACAGAAGGAAAACTAGAAAATTCATACAATGTGTAGAAATTGAAAACATGCTATTGAACAAGTAGGAAATCACAGAATTTACCCTGAGAAACAAATGAAAGTAAAACAACATATCGTTATGAGATGCAGCAAAAACAGTATATAGGGGGATTTATAGTTATGAATGCCTTAATAAAAGCAGAAGAAAAATCTCAAAAACAAATACTTTATAACTTAGAGAACTAGAAAAAGAAGAACAAGCTAAACCTGAAGCTAATATGAGGAAGGAAATAAAGAGCAGAGATAAATAAGATAGAGAACATAGAAATAATACAGAAAAGCAACTAAACCAAAAGTTTGTTCTTTGAGATCAACAAAACTGACAAATCTTTAGCTAAATGCACAAGAAAATAGGAGAAAAATACTCAAATTACTAAGTCAGAAATGAAAGTGGGGACATTACTACCCATCTTCCAGAAATACAGAGGATTTTGAAAGATTACTATAAAGAGTTGTATAAATTGGATAACCTAGATGAAATGGACAAAATCTTAGAAACACAAAACTTACCGGAACTAAACTATGAAGAAAAATAAAATCTAAATAGATCTGTAAGCAGTAAGGAGATTGATCAGTAATCAGAAATCTCCCAAAAGAGAAAAGCATTAGATCCAATGGTTTCACTAATGAATTCTATTGAAATTTTAAAGAAAATCAAAACACCAATTCTTCCAAAATTTTTCCAAAAATTGAAGAAAAAGAAAGACCAACTCATTACCCTGATACCACCAAATTATACACTTAAAAATGATTATGGTGCGAAGTTTTATGTTACATGTATTTTATCACAATAAAAAATATATTTGTTAGAGTTTTTGGACTCTTTTTACTCAGATTGGGAGCCTTAGGAAATTCTGTTTCAAGGAAACACAGATTAATTTCTCTAAATAGCTTTGAAAAAAAAGAGTGGTTAAAATAGCTATATATGTATAACCAGGTGTTCCAACTCAGAGGCTGCCAAAGCATCAATATAATTCATTAAATTTTTTTCTATATATAGATGTTGGTTAAATATTTTTAGAGTTATTTTTAAAATACCAAATAAAACATAATCTTTTAGGTGGGAAAGGAAAGCAACTAGCCATCAAGTTGAGTTTTTATCTAATGTGTAGCCAGATTTCAAGCTTTAGCATTTATGGCAGCTGTTCCAAAATATGGTATTTGATCCGGGGGCTGAAAAAGTAGATAGGAGTTATCTTCTGCTAACTTTGATACTAAGAATAAAATCTGAAGTTTGGAGGATTTTCTTTGGTGTACATGTAGCAAAGTTTGGTATTTGAATTGTAAAAAATGCTTTTCAAGGACCAAGCAGACCTATTTTATTGGGACATGAAGGACATCTGAAAAGCATATTACATATATGTGGGTTTTCTTCCTTCTCAAGGTGATGAGGCACCCAGATCATGTGTCGTCCAGTGTTTATTTATGGGCTCATCATGAGAAACTTGTCATCATCGATCAATCAGTGGCCTTTGTGGGTGGGATTGACCTGGCCTATGGAAGGTGGGATGACAATGAACACAGACTCACAGATGTGGGAAGCGTGAAGCGGGTCATTTCAGGACCATCTCTGGGTTCTCTCACGGTAAGTCAGTTCTGCTTTTATGGGACTGCATACAATGAACATGATTTTCCTAAGTTTGTGTTAATAGCATGACTGAATGATTAACAGGTGGCATCTCCCTCAAGGGGACAGAAGATTGAGTTAAACCTCAGATAGACTTTTTTATACCAGCCTCACCACCTAGCTAGCATGTGACTTAGCATCTCCCAGTCTCAGTTTCTTCTCATAAGAAGAGAGAGCAGATTCAATAGAGTTTGTTGTCTCAGACTCAGCTTCTTGATTTTCCATTTAAATTAAAGATTTATTTCCTACTTGGAAACAAAGTTCATAAAAATGTGTGACAATCAAAATTTAGGTTAAAAGACAATGGAAAGTTGTATTAAAATAGCTGCTGGGGAAAGGGATGTAGCTCAGTGGTAGAGCACATCCTAGGCAAGATTTTTTAGAATTTCCCTAATTAAAGACACACAAGAACAGAACAGATCACTCTGGGATCATTCAGAGGGAATTCCATTTGAGCAGAAAGTTAATAACATCTTAAAGTACCTGTCAAATCAAGAGATGCTAAAATATTTATATGTCTGTATCCATTTTTTTATAATTTCAACTCTTTGGCTACCAAAATGTCACTGCACTTATTAAAATTTTTGATGGACTGCATCTTATTTAGTGCTGGATTTTTTGGGGGGGAAAATAGTAAGTTAGTGAATAGATAAGAGGGAGAATGATTAACAAAAGAATTTTAATGTTTATCCACAAAAGTAGTTTGGTAGCTCGACAGTATCTTAATTGTATTTGAGATGAAAGGGTAATTGGAATGAAATTTCAAGAATTTGGCCTCCTGAAGGAGGAACATCAGTGCTATGGTAGTGTTTAACCAGCTCCTAGGAATCCATCACCACACTGTGCCTGACCTCAGACCTTCCTGAATGTCTGCTGCGGGCTCCACCATTGGCAAACTGCACCCTTTTCTACTTGAATTAAAGGAGCTAATTGAAGAATATCTTAAGTAGTGTTTTTTTTTAATTATTTTTTTCAGGCTGCAGTCACAGAGTCTATGGAATCCTTAAGCCTCAAAAATAAACATGAATCTAATAAAAATATTCCCAGCCCGAAGAGTCCTGATGATACAGACTCAAAACTGAAAGGCTTAGGAAAGCCACGAAAGTTGTCCAAACTTAACCTCTACCGGCAGCTCCACTGGCACCACCTGCACAGTATGGACAGCCTCAGCAGCCTGGAAAGCAGCTCCAGTGAGTCACCTCTTTGGCAGGGACCTTCTAGATACCCTGTGTCCCTCTCCAGCCAGCCACAGCATGCCTGTTTCAATATCAGTCTTTCTGTATGTGTCAAATGAACAAGGCGGAAAGGTTGCTGCATCATCCCATTCAGTACCCTGCCACCTCTTGGCTTGCTTGACTAATTTTTAAACAGATGCATTGTTTTATTCACACAAAGTAGTCATATCAACCACTATTCTTACTTTTGATGGTGGCAGAATGACTGCAGGTTTCTAAAACATGCAAAGCTAGTAAGGCAGAAGAAAAGTACTTAGATGTACTTTATAAATTTTTCTTAGAAGAAAGTTCATTCTCTTCCCATCCAGAAGTATGTCAAGCTTATATCCTCAAACATCAGATCTTATAAATTCACTATTCTTTGCAAATCTTCCTGACAGCCTTGCAATTTTGTATTTTACAGGAATTTATGACTGTACTTTTAACCTTGCTAATTTCCAAAATGATTACGATTTGCAGTTAAGAAAACTTACTATATATATTTCTTTGTAAAAAGAAGAACTCTCAATTTTCTCCAGGTTATGTTAATCATTATAGAAGTCATCAGAATTTAATCCATGGTTTAAAACCCCACTTGAAACTCTTTCGCCCTTCCAGTGAGTCTGAGCAGGGACTCACTAGACCCAGCACCGGTAAGTGACCTGTGAGTGGCAGAACCCCTTCAGGCTGAAGCTTTCTTCGCAATGTCTGCTGCATGGGCACAGTGAATGTGTTTCTAGATTGGCTTTCTGTTTACAGAATTCTCAGGCACGTGTATTATGGAGAACTTGCTTTGTGCAAAGCACAAGATCCCTATGCCTCGAGGACCTAAAATTTACCTTGTAATTGACTGCACGGCATGCGCAGTGCTCTAGTGTCCTGCAAGTTGTGTTGGAGATGGGTTGTCTTCCTTTATGATGATTTAGAAGGACTTTTTGAGTAGGCCACTACTCAAGTCAGATCACTAAGTCAGATCTGGAAGTCAATTGATTGGGGTAGGTGGGGATAGTATGATGTTGCAGCGAAGGAAATGAGTTGAGCAACACTGCTGGGAGGGGAAAAGAAAACATCTTAGCTATTAGTGGAAAATACATTATTTAATTAAGATGCAGTTTTTGCTCTAAGACTAGGAAGATGGATGTGGTCACATTTGGAGTTCCAAACAAAGTTGAGAAGTTGGAACTTTTTAAAATGCTGAAAACCAGCTAGACATAGTGGTGAATGCTCATAATCCCTGCCCTGTGGGAAGCTGATACAGGAGGATCCAAGCGGGCCCCCAGCCTGGGCAATTTAGTGATTTAGTGAGACCTTGTCTCAAAATTAAAAATGGGCTGGGGATGTCGCTCAATGTGAAGGCCTTGCCTTGAATCCCCAGTACCAAGAAAAAAATTGAAACCCCTTGAAATGGAGGTATCATGCTATACATACGAATGTTTAGAAATTGTAATCTGATAACCTTTTGTAAGAAGAATCAGATGCTAGAGGAATGAATTAATCAGGGCCTAAATTATGATGGTGGGGGTGAAGAAGGATTTGGCAACTGATCCAATATAAGGACAAGCAATAATCAAAATAAATAACAATAGGGCTGGGGATTTAGCTCAGTGGTTTCATTGCCTGCTGCACAAGGGCAAGAACCCAAGTTCCATCTCTGGTATCAAAAAAACCAATAGTACAATCATCAGCTAATCTTTATTCTGCAAGACTCTGTCTGTCACTGCTCTCAGTATGTGCAGTGCTTACTAGTGATATTACTAACTCCTTTTTACAGGTGAAGAAACTCAGAGATGATAAGCAACTTGCCTGAATACATTCTGGTTTACCAGGCTCTCAGTGCTCAGGATTCAGAGTTATGATTTAACAGAAATGAATTTTTTTACATCATGACCTTTCAGGTAGAATTCCAAGGGCAGGGTTCTCTGTACTGTTCATGAGATGAGGATGTTAGCTCCCAGATAGCACGCCTCCATTGAGTCACCTGTGACTACACTAGCGCCAAGGTACCTGATACATTGAGCTGCACTTTGAACAGTGAGTGTCTCCCAGCATTCTTTAGTTTAGGTTCCCAGCATTAAAAAAAATACAATAATTAACTGTGTAATGAACAAAAGCTCTAACATAACTTTTAAATAAATTTGTATTTTTAAAATCATAACAATGTTCATAAACATTTTTAAGTGGAAAACATATACAGGAAGATGTTTCATTTCTATCTTAGAGTACAGCTAGTCCTTGATAGATTTGAGGATGTCTCCCAGTAATTCCTGTACTTGACAGAGCTTCAGAATCCTGAGAACCAGAAGTCCCCTGCACAGTTCAAAGGGCCAAGTCGGGGTGGGGGAGGTACGCAGCTGCAAATATTAAAGGTAAAGAGTTGGGAACAGGTCCAAGGAGTGCCTTGTAACCTTGGTGTGTGGCTTTGGTCCTTTAAAAATGAAGTTAAAAATGAGATGGATAAGTGAGGCTGTGGAACCATGAGAGGGTCTGAATTATGACTGTCGCTAACAATAGGATTGGAAGTGAATGGAAAAGATGTGAGTCAGGTTCTGAGTACGTTAAGTAACTCAGGCCAGACTCAGGCTGAGGAAGTGATTTCTGTAGTGGTGATCTGAGGATCCAGATATGTTCGGTTTCTGTTGTTGATAGACGGCATCTTGGCATCCATTCACAATCCATTCATCAATAAACTGGATGTGTGTCTAGTGAAGCATTTTTATTTAGAGAAAAAGAGAAAGCAAACAACCTAAATGCCAGAGTAGAAAAATGGGAAAGAACATAGTGAATGGTGTGTCCCTTTGATGAAATCATGCAAATCATTGGAACTTTAACTGGGGATACATAATAAATGTCTAAGATTTATGTTTATTAGGCACGTATTGAGGACCTGAAATATGTCCTATGTTCTAGGTACCAGGGATATAGTGCATAACAGACCAATAGAGTTAACGAATTGAAGCGTAAAGATGGGAATTGTGTATACAAATACATTGACAACCACATTGTATTAGGTGGTGATAATTATCATGAAGCACAACAAAGTATAAGAGGAAAAGCAGAGGGTAGAGTTACCGTTTTATATAGGGTGATCACAGAATGCTGTCCTAATTTGGTGACTTTTCAGCAGAGTTCAAAAGCAAGAGAAGAATGAGGATAAGAGGCTGTCTGGGAGAGGTGTCCCAGACAGAAGGAATAGAAAGTGCAAAGATCCTGATGCAGCAGGAAGATTGGTATGTTTCAGGAACGTGGCTGTGGTGAGATGGGCTCTGGGTGAATGTTAGGAAAAGATGGAGAGGTGCTGTAAGAACTTTGGCTCCCTTGAAGGTCACTAGGTGTTTTTGAGCAAAGATAGACATGATCTGACTTTGTCTTCTATAGGATCATTCTTCAGAGTAGACAAGGTGGCAGATAGTGACAGGAAAGGTATTTGGGGCATTTACCAGTGCCCCAGATGGGGAATGAGTCAGGTGGACAGGTGTCTAGATCTTTAGACCCACTGGAAAAGTGGAGTTTCCGTGAGCTGAACTGGAAGGCTGTGTGAGGAGCAAAGGAAGATGCTAATGTGAGGATGCTACCGCTATATCACATGTGCCCCTGGAAGAGGTGAGGCGAAGACGTTAAATGATGGTAACTTGTTGGGAAGATAGGACACTGGTGATTTTTCTCTTTTCCATATTGCTTCCATTGTTTCTTATTATGAGTAATAATTTACAGATAAAGAAAGGCAAAAGGGTAGTTGAATCCTCCCAGAGCAGTACTTCCCAAATTCCATTCCCTGGACCCTGAAATTTGTCAAAGGCTCTGCAGAGGGCACTGTGTAGATGTTGCCTTTGTACCCCCACCCCCTACACACTTCAACTGGAACCTGCTTCAACCAGAACAGTCTCATCTGTAATTTGTTTCATATATTGTGTTTTCTTGTAAGATTGACATTGCTTTTACCATGTGCTTAAAAAGAGGTTGAATTTCACTCTTACATTCAGAAACTATTTGCTGATCTTTTTGTTGTAAGGAATATGAAATAGATGAGGGGGAAAATTGTTTTTGAAACTTAGTTGAGATCTGTTTTTCAAATTTGCATATGTAATCAGAGGGATAATGAATAGTAAGGTAAGCTGTTTCTACGCTCTGCTCTCTGGGATGCAGTGTAAGAAATGTATAAGATTCACTTGGTGCTACCAAAGAGCTTATTATCTAATAGAAATATAGTTTAAAATACTGGTAAGTTTTAAAATTCAGAAATTAGTTCCTTGGTAATTCTTCAAAGGTCTGTACCCCTACTATAGGAGGCATTTGTGAAATCTTTCCCACAGATACAACACAGCTTTATAAACCCTTATCCACAATTCCAAAATCCAAAACTTTAAAAAACAAAAGATTTTTTAAAAATTGAGGACCTGTACTGGAACTGGCCTTGAATATAGATACAGATTCAGTAGGTTGAGAGTAAGAAGGGAGAAAAAAAGGCATTTCAGGGAAATGTTATATCTTAAGGCACAATTATGGGAACACCAAGTGTGTTTATGTCAAAACTTCAGACCTGAGTATGAATACATAGAGATCTGTAATCTTTTATGCAGAATCAGATGTACTTTAGAAATTGGAAGGCTCTAAGTTTTAGAAATACAATGCCTATAACTTTTTTTATATTATGCTTCCAGCAGGGTCCAGGAAATACCCAGACTATAAGCAAAACTAAGTACAATCAACAAAAATAAATAATTTCTTATCAATTCAAGCCAGATTTTGCTAACAAATGGGCTATGAAAAAAATTGGATTTTCAGAATTTTGGAGGTTTGAAATTGTGGTTAAGAATTAAACAATTTGTGTGGATTGGGCTGGTGGGGTATAGCTATGCCAATTTATGGAGGCCTTGCAAGTCTGGCTGAGACTTTGCCGAATCCACTAAATGTTGGAGAATCCCCAGGATGGGAGGTTAAAGGTAAAGTTTTATGAGGGCTGCACAGAGACAAAGGGAATCCAACTAGGTTGTGCCAATGACTCAAGACTGAAATGAATAGGAGAAACTTTTTCCAAAAGAAGAGCCAGCAGAATTCCAGTATGGTTTGGGAAGTGGTGGTGGGAAGGGAGTGAGGAAGACGGTGAGGAAGAGAAGAGGGAAGGTGACTGGGAGGCTGGAGCCTGAGTAACTATGAACAGAATGCAGAGACTTCAAGGGAGGACTTCACGTGGTAGGGATGCTTATGATTTCAGTGTTAGATTTATTTATTTATTTATTTATTTAGGTACCAGGGATTGAACTTGAGACCTTGCACTTTCGAGGCAGGCAGTGGAACCACTGAGCTAAATCCCCAGCCCTGTTAGATGTGATTTTAAAGTTCTGGTGGAACGGCTGGGGAAATCATGTCCACTGAGACATTGGAAATGATTGCAGATTTGATGCTCAAAAGAGAAGCCAGGCCTAGAGGTGCATGTTTAGGAATCATACAGAAAAAGACAGGAGAAACTCAAGGGAAACAGTGTCTGTGAGCAGGAAGCAGGCAGGGAGGAGAAGGGTAGGTTGGAGAAGTGAGAGAGGAGTGAAGCTTAGTGAGCCAGAGGTGAAGAATAAGGAGGAGGACATGGCAAGACCCAAAGACACAGGGCAAGAGCAGAAGACATCCTTGTCATAATCTTGAGCAGCAGAATCTGGGCTTATGATAGAGAAGGATGTGAAAAACTGGCATGACAAAACCCAAAGACAGGGTAGATGCAGTTGTGAAGTGGTTTGGAAGCCAGATACAGCCTAATGAGAGCCTGGCAGATCAACGCTGCTGGTGCTGGAAGCCCTGTGAGCTACTGCAGATGCCCATTGAGCCCTGAACAGCAAGTGCAGTAACTGGGGAGTATTTAGTGCTCTTGGCTTAATAGTTCATTTGTTCTGAAGAGGACTATCACTTATTTGGAATAATTTATGTCTTGACTAGAAACAAAAACAAATTTGAATTATAAGCAGTTGAATTCCGTAAGTACCAAGACAATTTTCTGAGACCTGGAATTTGCTTTGCTTTTTTTTTTTTCCTCCTTATGATAAGTAGTTGTTAGGTTAAAAACAAATTAAGTTTTAAACAAGTGTGTGAGTGTTTATATACAACCTTAGCTTATTTTATCAATCAATGAAAGCAAATTATATATGTTTTAAAATTTGCAGTTTGGAATATTTTTATCTCAATTTTTTGTTCCCCTCCCTCCTTTTTTCTTTTAATAATGTACTATTCTTACTATAAAGAGCCTAATGGTGAGCAAACAGACTTACCAGTGGTTTTGCCTCTCAGTCTTATAGAACAGGAAAATAAATCACTGGAAGAAGTCAGAAGTCTATTTTTAACATTAGTTATGTTAACTTTGGCAATTTGTCTTTTCTATAGAAAATTTCAATAACCTTTGGCCGGATAATTGTTCACCTCTAGATATAACAGTTGTGTGTAGTGATCACATAAAAATTTTGTTCTGCAATATTTATTAATTGCCTCCTGGATGTTAGTAGCCATGCCAGGCAGTGAAGGATACGGTCCCCCCTGCAGAGGAGTGAGTAGATTCCTGCAGGGCAGAAGGGGCATTTCAGAGACATTCGGGGTACACTTCCTGTTGGGATGGCAGCAGGGCTGGTGACCACAGGGATGAAGGTCACTTGAGGGGAGGTGACAGATAAGGTGGCTCTTGATGGCTGTCCAGGAAATCAGGCTAAAAGGAGGGAAGACTATTCCAGGCAAAAGGAATAATGTGCAAACTGCACATAGGCAAAGCAGATCAAGCCTGTCCAAATACCATGGAAAATGGGATATTCTGGGGCCTGGGGTCAGGTGGAAGGAAAAAAAGGACCAGAAAGATTGGCACTAGATTGGGAAGAGCTCTCTATGTACTCTTAAGTCCTCAGGACTCGAACCTCCTGTAGGCTATAGGTGATCCTAGAAGGCTTCTAAGCAACAAGTTTGCATTCTATAAAGACGGTTCTGGGAGAGTGTGGTGGTGGTGACAGCAGAACAAGCAGCCCATATCTCTCGCTGGCTAATTTAAGCAGTACCATTTATTCATTCAACAGTGTTTTTGCATTCCATGTCTATCTGGAGGGTGCCTCTTGTGTGCCAAGTGCTGTATTTGTGATTTGTAGTTCTGCTAGTCATCCTGCTTTGTTGTCTTGATGGTAAACATATCCCCTAAACTTAGGAACTGTTTAACTCAAAGTATTTACCTTTAAGTAAAATGGACTCATAAAGCTCTTTGTGAAATGCTACAGTGCATTGCTGCTTTTGTGCCTCAATCATAAGCTTCTGTCTGTTGTTATTTTTTTTATGAGTGTCCTTTGTGATTTTAGAAATATAGAACATCAGGAGACTAAAAGATCTTAATTGTTTCATAGGCCAAATTCTTCCTTTTACACAGTAGGGATTTCTGACCCAAAAAGGTAAAGCCTTATGTCATCTAGGTACTTAATTCCATGCTAGATCCAGGAGTGTCTGTAAATATGAGGCTCCTTTGAGATGCAGAAGACAAGAATTACATTTTAACTATGCGCCCCATTGGTGAGGAAGGAGAGGAGGCCTGAATTCTTTCTTGCCTAGTATCTTGCGTTTCTCCACCCTCACTTCACTTTGTTCTCTCATAGTCCCACTTCCTGAGTTCTTTATTCATTTACCCTTGTGGTCTCTGGTGGTGAGAACAAGCTGTTCAACTCCCTGAGAATGTTAAATTTCATTGGCAAATGATGAACCAGGGTATGGCCCGACTGGCTACTAAAAATAAACCTGTGGGAGTTTTAAAGCCTTGTCAGGTCATGCCCTCCAATCAGGTGGACACATGCTGCCCTAGTTATGTCATAAGGAAAGTTAGGACATGTTTAGGTGTTCCCATCAGTGTGAGGTGAGCCCCTGTCCCTGGGGTCCACCTGGCCCACAGCCTCTGAGTGGGTCTTGCTGCATTCACAGATACTGGCTCCATCCGCAGCTTACAGACTGGCGTGGGAGAGCTGCATGGGGAGACCAGATTCTGGCATGGGAAGGATTACTGCAACTTTGTCTTCAAAGACTGGGTTCAGCTGGATAAACCTTTTGCTGGTAAGTGTGATGGGAGTGGTAGTGGGTTTTAGTTTCTCTTTTATCTTAGAGCATCTCAACAAGTATGCATGTGCAAGATCTAAATGCCTTTTGTTTTGCTTTGTTTTGTCTTTGTTTAGCTTTGAATATTTGGTAAAATTTAGAAACATGGTATATTTATATATTTAAGGACTTTTCTTTATAGTTACAAATAGAGAAGTACATGAAATGGAGCCAACCTATCATAAATCTCTAGGTTTTATAGAGGCCTATTTTAGGTAATAATCTGTAATACTCCAAGAGATGGCAGCCTTCCTTTCATCTTCTTTTATGCTTTTTCTGTTTATATTCCAGCAGTAAACTGGCATATTTTCAGATTACTGTGCTTGTTGGTTTAAGAGGAAGTAGCCAGGGCACTGCATATGTAGCCTGCTATTATTTGAAAAGGATAAAAAAGAAAAATATATAAATCATGCAGCTTTAGATAATTTGTACCAACTTACATCTTGCCTTGCCTAGTGATGAATAGAGTAAAAAGGAAACGTGCTGCAGGAGGTATTTGGGGACTGTGTTCCTCAACATGAAGTCTGTGTTCCCCCTTTTTATAAAGGTGTTCTACCCAAGCCAAGAAATAGGCACATACAGCAGGCTTTATTAACAGGTTTCCTTTTACCTATCATAGTTAGGGTCAGAGTGCCTCTGTCCCCAGCACAGACATGAATGATGGATCCTTGCTGGGTGCCCCGGGCAGATTTCATTGACAGGTACTCTACCCCCCGGATGCCCTGGCACGACATTGCCTCTGTAGTCCACGGGAAGGCAGCTCGAGATGTGGCGCGTCACTTCATCCAGCGATGGAACTTCACAAAGGTACTGAATGTTGTCGTGACTCGGTCTGTGAGAGGAGAGGCAAGCCTAGTCCTAGGAGAAACGCAGAGAGTTAGCAAGAAGGGGCTGCTGTGGCCATAGCTGTGGTACCATCTGCTGTTGGGTGCACTGTGATTAGAGTGCCTAGGCCTCTTGGCATTTTAAAAAAAAAGAAAATGTTCTCGAACTTTCACACCAAGGACAATTCAAGTGCAGAGGGAACAGATACTTCTATCAGGGCCTGTGTTTTTGATTTTTTTAACATCTTGGACTCCTAGTATTGATGAAGCATTTACTGAGTTGGGCTCAGTAGCCACGTAGAGGGTTGCGTTAGTGGGCAGGAGTCTTGATTAGATGACAGGGCTTAACTGTAGGCCCTTGCAGTCCTGCAATTGCACTGGGTTCATTCTCTTACAGGATTTTACAGGTTGGTTCTGAGCGAGTCAAGCAACATTACGCAGACCATGTTTCTTTTCTCAGAATGGTGTCCTTGGTGGTGCCTTCATTGCTGTAAGAACTTGTGCAAACATTCACAAGTTCAGTACACAGCATATAGTGCTGTGAAGGATCCACTTTACTTGTTTGCAATGATGAGGCATTATTCCTCCTGGTAATTTGAGCAATGAAATTAATTCCATCTACAGCTTAAAGCCTCTCTTTACTTATCATTCACATCAATATAAAATTTAGTGGAAGCTCTAAGGAAATATTTTAAACAAAAATTTAGAGGGGATTAATGGGTAAACAAAGTAATATTACTTTTAACCTACTGTACTGTACTGTCAAAGATTAAAAACACTGCTAGTAACCAGTTGGACTTTCTTTTGTACTGGGGATTGAGCCCCGGGCCTTTGCACTGAGCTATATCCCCAGCCCGTTTTCAACATGTTTTAAATTTTGAGATGAGGGCCTACAAAGTCACTAAGTCACCAGGGCTCCGAACTTGCAATCCTCTTGCCTGAGCCTGCGAGAGTGCTGGAATTAAACACATGTGCCACCACTCCTAGCTTGCTTTGGGTGTTTTTAGTATGCTTATTCCCTATTCTGGGAAGGGAAATTGGTCAAACACCAATAAGTTTTCTCTGCAATCTTTGATCCAAAAATATTTCCCCATGTTTAAGCTAAAGAAATAATCTAATAAGATAATTTATTTTGATGCAGCTTCTAATAACTCAGGTAAAATTAGGCATAGGTAAAATACTCACTGAGAGGAATTTGCTAAATGAATTATGCTTCTTCATACTATTTGATTATGAATTTGTTAAAAATAATGCAGTGCTGTGCTCCCATGAAAAAGTGTTTATGAAGTACAGCCAGGTGCAGTGGCACACACTTGTAAACTCAGCTACTCAGGAAGCTGAGGCAGGACGGTCACAAGTTGGAGGCCAGCCAGCGCGGCTTAGTGAGACCTTGTCTAAAAGTGAGATTTTTTCAGAAGTGCTGAGTTGCAGCTCAGGGCTGTTTGAGCTCAATCTCCAGTACAAAAATTAATGCTTACATTGACTCCTTCTTTGTAACTATAAAATAATATATGCTTACTATAAAAGTTAAAAGAAGGCAATATGAGAAATAAAAAACAACATAAATAGTATACTGCTTTTCAATTAGAAATGTCCATTGATTTTTTTTTCTAATCATAAAGCAGGGAAGAATGGGCCTCTTTTCTCATTTGAATCTTTTTCATTTGCTTTTTAAAATTTTAGATTATGAAACCAAAATATCGGTCCCTTTCTTATCCTTTTCTGCTTCCAAAGTCTCAAATCACAGCCCATGAGCTGAGATACCAAGTGCCTGGGGCTGTCCACGCTAGTGTACAGGTAAGCCTGGCTTTTCTTGTTCATAAAGTGCTACTAGGTAACATTCCTATTATTGGACTAAATGTCTATTATGTTGGCTTCAGGTTTTTCAATAAGGACTTTTGCAAAGCAAACCTGAGTGGACCTTTTTGGAAATTAGTATTACATTTCCTGTGTTAGATTCAGTTCACCCTCTTTCTAAAGCATATTTATACATATACTATGTATAGTGAAGCATGTATAATAGTATATGTATAAATGGAAACAATCAGGAATGAACATATGAGCTCATCAGAAGAAGCCATTTGATCTATTCCCATCTCTAACATGACACCCAGGATGCAGAAAAGGTGAAGGAAGAGAGACTTTGTGGAGTATCCATCTGCCTTACCAGGGCAGCAGGATGAGAAGACATAAGTGAGGACTTTACCAGTAAGGAGTGGAAAATGCATGTATACTTAACTCTAGACCTGTACTGATCCTAAGAATACACTATCCTCAGTAATACATTTCAACAGATATTTAATTAACATCATTTAACTTCAATACGTTGACCACCTTTTCAATTTTATTGTAACTTCAGATCTTAAATTCTCTTATTTTCCCAATACTGGCATTCTTATTCTAACACAAAAACCTTTTCCCTCCCTCATACAGAATAAAATCAAATAGTTCATAAAATATTCATCAACTTACGTGTAAAAACATATTATCTGTGCCTCCAAATATAAATCAGTTATCTTTTTAAAGGTAAAGAACTTAAGTCCACTCTGATCATGTCCGAGGCAGACTGCTGAATCTTTACCTAAACAATGCTTTTCTCATTCTGTCCCCTAATGATCTCAGGACACTGGAACTGTAGTTGGTAAAGGAGCAGATTGGGTAACACTGAACTACAGTAGTACTTCAAGCTCCACCTCTATCAGTAACTAACTGGGTGGCCCAAGATAAACCTCCAAGCCCCCACTGGATCTTATTTGTAGTTTGAGATTGTTGGACAGGATGCAGTAAAATTTTGTGGTTCTATTAAACAAATTCCTATTACTTTAATAGAACTGCTAAAAGGCATTTGGTTAATTAAAAACTAAAATTAGATTGAACTAGATCAAGCTTCCCAATTGCAAAGTTTCAGCCATGTTCCTGGTGCATAAGCAGAATCAGCTACTATTTGTCATGTTGCTAGGATCACCTTAGAAAGAATAAAACAGCCATTCCTTGACTGTAGCTTTCTCTGAGGACATGTATGTATTGACTCAATCTACAAACCCAATTGATTTAAAAGAGCATTTACCAAGGCACACTCACTCATTAATTCACTCATTGATTTAGCAACTTATATTTGCTTAATGCCCTGTGTTTGCACTGTAAAGTCTTCAAAGCAAGCTTGGGTACTGAGCAGGCAGACAGAAAAGCAGTTCTCTGCCCCTGGAAACTTGGTTGGGGAGAAAAAGCTGTGATGTTAATTCAGTTAATAGTGCAAGATAAGGTGTCTGAAAGTATGAATCAGTACACCATGAAAGTTTGGCAAACAGGAGGAACAGTCTGGGTATCCCCTCTAAGGAATAAAAGCTTCTTAGCAGAGGACAAAGAATTAACTATGCCAAACCATTTGTTCTTGGAGAGCAGATAATAAAGTTAGATAGCATAGGCCACATGGAGTGCTGGCTTCATCAACTTAGACCTGGTCCTGGAGCATTAATGAATTTTAGAACTTTTTTTTTTAATCTAGGAAAAAACATGATATATGAATGTTTTATGAATTTTAACCTAATTTTCTTAAGGTAATCAAACAAAACCCAAGGACAATTAGGACTATCTTCATAAAATATTTGTCCGTAGGTGTCAGTTTAGGGGTAGAGTTTCCTAAACTGAGTTTTGCCTATAAAATGCTTTCCATGGACAAATAAATTTTTGCAGATTTCTTTAATATAGGATGTCTTCATACCTTTGTTATGCTAATGTATTTTGAAACCACTAAGAAGCAACACAGTGGGAACATTTCCCAAGTTTATTTGACCAAAGATCTCTCATTTTATTTCTTCTTGTCTGTTTCTCTCTGAACAAACACTTTGGGATTTAAAGTTTATACATATGGAAGAACTTATTAGACTGGAGATGAAATGAAAGCAAGGGACAGGGAAAAATGTTGTTAAAGTTATTCTGCTATTCACTGAAGCCCTACAGTAGAAATGAAAGGAAGGAACAGATAATGAAATATTTTTGAGGGAAGATATAAGGGACATGATGACTACAACATGGCCAAAAATTAGGGGTAAAGGGGGTAGTGAATACTAATTAGTTTAATGTCACTGATGATGTCTCCAGAAAAGAATTACACATGTGTCATGACTGATTGACCAGGACGGTAACTGAGGTCACGAAGGACTCCGGCAGCCCCTGTGGTGGGTCTGTTCTGGGTGATATAAACTTTGCAGCTTGATAGTAGCTATAATAAAGTACCTAACAGTGTTGCTAGGCAGTGCTTCTGGAAACACAGGAAAATCATTCAGTTAGTTATAATAAAATACATTCTCTTAAAAGAATCATACCACAGCAATGTGCACCCATGTTTATAGTGGCACAGTTCGTAATAGCTAAAGCTTGGAAACAGCCCAAGTGCCCATCAACTAGAAACTGGATAAAGAAGATGTGGTTTTTTTAATAAAATGGAGTACTACTCAGCCATAAAGAACGAGAAACTAGAGACATTTATAGCTAAATGGATGCATATTGAGGCCATCCTCTTAAGTAAAATAAATAGGACACACATGTGTAAATACCAAATAGTTTCTCTAGTGTGAGAAACTGAAAGTATAAATAAGGATCAAAATGATTAAAATGAATAATTGATAATTTGAAATAGGAAGAAAAAGTCCAAAGGGATAGGGAAAGTGGGAGAGGAAGGGTAAAGGAAAGAAAGGAAAGGAAAAATTATGAGAAAAGAAAAAAATGGAAACAAAGTCTATGTAAATAGGGAAGGGTGGAGGGGGTGAAGGAAGCATAGGGAATGGGGAAAAAATAAGAACCAAGACACATCATGTACAGGTACAAGCACCCAATGATAAATGTAAATGTATTGTGTACCTAGAATATACCAATAAAAGAATTTAAGCAAAAAATTAATAATAAAATACATTCTAAAACCACAGCAGATGGCCTCAGGGATTAATTTCCACTCTTTGATCCTCCTATATTTTATCTGAAAGCTTTATGATTGATGTGAATCATATCCGTAGTCCCTTCAGATATTTAAAATGAAGCTTTTCATTCAGCATCTTTAATAAATGTGGTATCATTATAAGTATTAATTACCTTCTATTTAGTCTTGCTGATATAGTTAGGGTCCCTGATAAAATAAAACACTCCTCAGTTATACCCCTTAATTTTTGAAGTAGTTATATTTATAACTAAGTAGAAATAGGAGCCACTGGTTAGAATGTGTACCTTGATAATTAAACTTTTTTTCTGTAGACCCTTGAGAGAGAAAACGAAGATATTGAAGTAAATTAAAACATCATACATTTGTTTAGCTCCATGTCACTGCTAAGACAAATACTACAGAGTGGTAAATGAGAAAATATGACATCATTGATGAATTCTCACATTCTAAGATTTTAATTTCTTTTTATCCCTTTGGTCCTTGAAATCTGATGTGTGTGTGTGTGTATTTTTTTTTTTTTTTTTGGTTCTGGGGATCAAACTTGGGACCTTGTGCTTGCGAGGCAGGCAGCAGAACCACTGAGCTAAATCCCTGGCCCAAAGTCTGATATTTTTACAGTTGACTTTTTATCATCTAAGTCCCTAAAGTAAAATATACCTACAGACCGGCTAGAGTGAAGGCCATGATAAGCGGAATGAGCTGCTCACTTTTGGAAGCCACATTCAGTTCCAGAACTCTGCCCGTGTAGGGTTGGAACGTCTTATCTCCCCAGGCCACTCTAAAGACAGATATCTAGTTTTTTATTTATAAATTTGTATTCTTCTGCTTAGGGAACCTCATCCCCAAGTTAAAAAGTGTTAGACATAGCAAAATTTGGACCTCTACTAGTTTTTAGGAGTTTTGGAATAACTTTAATTTTGAAAACAGTGAACGCAGCCAGGAAGTACATCTTTTTGGAGATAGGAAAGTCTGAGAGGACCAGAAACTTAAACAAAACAAAACAAAACTGTACCCTGCTGTGTTTCTCCTTTTGTGACAACATCTGACCCCACTGTTGCTTCACTTTCTTCATTGTTCATTGGCTCTTAACATTTATCTTGTCACAGACATTGAAATGTATAGTTCCTAGAAGGCGAGAACAGTAGCCTTAGCCAATCTCTAGTTTTCCAAAGAATCCAGAAGGGGCAAGGAGATGGGCCCCTCCTTATGTTTGGGCTACTTCATTTTTAAAGGGTTAATCATTACATTTGCAAAACTTCAACTTTCTTAGCTGTCTTAAGATCCATAATCAAATGATTGTTAGGCACTCAGTTGAAAAGTTTAATGAAATTAATCTTTCAGTGTATTGTTTTTAAACATGATTGTTTCATAACAATTTAGTGCTTGAGTATGAAGAACCAATATGATGTATGAATTAAGAGGTAGGATCTAATTAGGATGTGTTAAAATCCCAGCTCTCCTACATATTAGCTAGCAGTGAAGCCTTTTGAAAATGACTTCACTTCTGCATACGTTTCCCTCATCTGTAAAGCAGGGGTAGTTTCAGTGTCTGCTCCATCAGCTGGAATGATGGGTAGTGATGAATAAATAAATTAATGCCTGCAAAGCACTTAGCAGAGTGGAGCAGTTTGTGTTCTATCAGTATTGGCTCTTTTAGACATTTCCTAGTGTTTCAGAAGTTTGCAACAAAGGATGACATTTCTCTGGAAGGGTCACCAAGGCTAGTTCTGGATAAAAATACTTATACCATATATTTATTGAAATGAAGAAAAAGGACATTTGACACGATAAAGTAAATAGTAGATAATATTCATGTCATTCTTTCACCTGCAGAAGGGACCTAATTATTTAATCTTTGACTATGAAAACACTGGGCACACCCTTTCACAGTAGGGTAGACAGCCAGTCAGGGAGAGAGGGACTGTGTGTGTCAGAATGAATGCTTGTCCCCACCAACACAGATAGCCTCTTCTGAAAAAGTCATTCAGACCGGGAGGTGACTTTGGCAGCTTTCACCAACACTTTAAAAATAATCTGGCATTGCCCTTAGTGCTGGGCATTCTCAGAAGCCTGCCAAGAGCACTCAGAGAAGATACAACAGGAACAGGCCTGCCTAGAGGAGGAAGTGGGAGAGGCAATTCTGAAACTGCTTATACACGGGTGTATAAAGAGAAAACTAGGTTCCTGAATGCTCTCATTGCCATTTCTGATGCATTGCCTAGCATTTGATACATTTTTGACCCTTCAGAGGTTGTGACTGATCTGCGATATGAACTCTTAATGTAGTATTTTCAACTGGCACCTCTACAGGGTTAAGGGAAAAGAAAATGGATAATGCTATGTCAGCATCAATGTGGAATCAATACATGAGAACAATCCTTTTTATTAAATTGGGCAGCTTATGGTAGGATCATCCCTTAGACAATTTTTTTGGTACCAGGAATAGAACTCAGGGCCTCACACTTGCCAGGCAGGTGCTACACCACTGAGCTACATTCCAGGCTCCCTTAGACAATTGCAGTAAGAATCCCTACCTATATTGAGAAAAATAATTCCACTTGTCTCATGTCTTCCATGCTGTCTATCTGAAAGGGAGAAAGGGAGGGAAAAAGAAAAAAGAGGACAAGAAAATTTACAGGCAAGTAAATGACATCTGAATTATACTACTGGAAAACATCCAAATGATACTCCAGAGGATGTTTGAAAGGACACCAGTGTGCTTTACAGTGCAGATTGGTGTGAGAGAGTAAGGTAGATAGGTGAGATGAAGGGAAACCACTGCTCTCCTTTTCATGGTTTCTTATTGTGAGAGCTTTTTCCTCTTGTGAGCCAGGTCTTCAGGCAGCAGCAGATTTGTGAGTGTTAATCTGGGTCTTGGCTGGCGGAAGCCAATGTTGAACAGGAAGCTTTTACTTTGTGTCTAGCACTGTGCCAAGCTTTTTGTGGCTTATCTAATTTATTTTCATCAGCTTATAAACTGCACTTTATTCCCCCTACACTTATTTTTACAGATGAGAAAACTAAAGCTTTGAGAGGTTAGCATGAGTATAAAGTGGTAGGGATGAGACTCCATTCCAAGCAGTCTGTTTTCAGCACCTCACATATCTGTTAGAGGTGATGGTTGTTTCCAGTAGGTCAGACCTGGCAGTGTTGTAACCACCAAGGTTCCAGAAAGACAGTTGCACTTCAGCTTTGCCTTTTGATATCTCCTGTTGCTTACCTCTCTATCTTCCTGCCTCTCAACAGCCCCCAACTAGATATTTTTTCTTAGGACTTCTCTCCCCTAAAGTCTCATTTTCCAAAAGCTATCTTTACTTTCTTTCCTTCAGCCAAAAGATTAATTTCTTCTTCTGATTCAGGCAAAGGATTACCATAAGTGAATAAACTGCACATTGTGACACAAGTGGCTGACCCTCAACTAAAAAAAAAAGCGGTTGTTAAAAGAAAGAGCTTGATAGGATGAGCCACATTCCGTGAGTCAGTTTCTCAGTCTTATTCCCTGCTGTTTTCTTCTATCGTCTAGAAAGAATAAAGCCTTACAAACTGAGCCCTTCCTTATCTCCTCAACGCATATCACTTGGGAGCTGCTACACAGATGGCAGCCTGTGCTTGAGGGACATAGAGAAAGCGCTTTTGTCCCAAACAGTCTTTGTTCGTATGGACTTGGAAACTTAGGGGAACAAAAGGAATTAAGATATTTGCTGAATTTATAGGGAATAAAAGCATTGTGGTGAGAGAAAAGAAAGAAACTGGGGACAAAATCTAAAAAACTTTTGAAAGTTTTCCTTCAAGGAGAAATTTCTTTCAGCCTATATGTTTGACTTGGTTCCATCCTATGTCAGAGGATTAGGACTTATGGTTAAAAGAAGGCCATATTTTAAATTTAAAAATGGGACGGAGTACAAAGGAAAATGACTGGTCCTGGTTAAATACTGACACTACACCATAAAATCATAAACATGCCATTTTCATAACTTTAAAACTGTATATTCAAATGAGGTTTGAAAAGTGTGGGTTGTATGTGAGTCCCAGGACATGTGGAACAATGATAAGCCACATTTATTCATATGGAGGGAGGAGTCTGAGGCTTGTCTCAGACTTAAACCAGTTACACTGGTTTAAAACAGAAACACAAGACAAGTTGGTCAGGTCAGTGAAGAAAAAAGAAAAGAGTGACTCTTAAGTTGAAAAAAAAATAGAGAAGTCAATCCAAATGTCTTTGACTTTTTGGAATATTGACAAAAATGTCCTAGATCTTGCAATGAAGGTAATTTTTACACAACTTTCGAATTATAGAATGGTTCAAGAGTATAGAGAGACCATTGAAACTTCTATTCAGACTTTGTTATTTCTGCCTGATGAACAATAATGCGGTTCTTTAAAGATGATCTAAAAATCAAGATATTTTCTCACTCTGGATCTTTTATTAACTTAAGTTTTCCTTATGAGCTTTCTTCTGTGATATTTGACTATTCATGTTCAAGGGTAAATTTTCCAATTTCATTGCACATATTCATCTGATAACAATTAACTAAAATGGTTAGAAGGGAGGTATTTTGTAGTAATTATAAAATACTGAGTAAATAAACATTATAGAGGGTGGCACAATCAGTGATTTTGTACTATGTGTTAGCTATTTTTCTCATTGCTGAGACAAAATACCCACCACCCAAAGTTAAAGGAGGAAAGGTTTATTTTGGCTCACAGTTTTTAGAGATTTCAGTCCATAGATAGTTGGCTCCAAAATAGGGTGGCATGACAGAGGAAAAACAGTCCATGGCAAAGCAGGGTAGGCAGAAGACATCTAGTAGCAAGCAACAGCAGCAGCAGAAGCAGCCTGTCTCCCCTTTTTATCCCTTCCAAGCTACCCTCCTTTTGGGTGGTGCCACCCACACCCAGGATAGGCCTTCATTAATCATAACATCACACATTTAAACCCAGTATCACATCCTTACTCCCAATATCACACACCCTAGATCCAGCCACCTCCAAAAAGGCCCACCTATAATTACATGAGGCTTGGGGGGGACATCTAGATATAAGCCATAACAAACCACTTCTGAAATCCTCTTTCTAGAACGACTAAAATACAAGTACTGGTTTTGCATTTCAGTAGTCTTGTAGATGCAATTTCTAAAAGTTATTAATTAGAGTAACAATTTGATCGGAACTTTTATGTATAACAGACATAAAATTGATTATGTATTGAATCACTTTGAATATTCCTAATAAGCATGGGACTGTTCCTTACACTTTTAATTTCAGTTGACCTCATGAATTTCAGCATTCATTTCAAATCAGAAATAGAAAGTGTATTGTGATAGTGATGGTTTAAGAAATGTCAATTGTTTAAGGAATGTCAATAAGTACTTATTGAGGACTTGCTATATGCTAATATCATACTGCAACACTGAAGAATGCTGGGGAAAAAAAGACAACTGATGGTTGCTTAGTGTTGAGAAAGTCATGCAAAGCCTTCTATGTCCTCCAATCCACAGCGATAGTCTACTCTGCCACATCTCTGATGTGATCTGCCACTGCTCCTCTAATGCCAATGCATCCTCTAATGCTGATAGTAATAACACCTGCACCCTACTTACCAGCTGCTAGATCTCTGGCTATACACTTCACAGTAATTCATTTCATCCTCTGCGATACAAAGTAGATACTCTATTTTATAAAACAGAAATATGATGCAAAAACCGAAAAAGAAATGTGTTCAACACATTGTATTCAACAGTTCAACAGTCAAAATTAAGATAGGCTTTGAACACAGGCAATCCTGTTCAGAAGTAGTGTATTTAGACTATATTCACGTATCTGAACTAGAAGCTCTTGCTGTCCAGGTGAGAGCAGGTGAGTCTTGGAACAGAGTTGTGGTATGAATGATAAGAAAGAGGTGAATCTGATAAATGATCTAAAGAATAAATAGAACCAGATATGCAATTTGATATGGACATTGAAGAGAGGCTTGCCAAAGAGCCCCCTAAAGTCACACTAACTTTAAAGACTGATAAAATGATGGCATGCCTCTGGACAACAGGGTATTTGAATTGGGACACTGTTTAGGGGAAGTGGTTATGAGCCTCATTGTGATCTGTTTAATTTAAGGTGAGGAGATCAACTCCAAATTGATTGGTATGACACACAGATGTGGTAAAATGGTAAAAACAGACAGTATAGCATGGTGGTCAAAGTTATGGAATGGTAAGAGGCAAACTCAAGCTCCTGTGATAATATGTGTTATTTCACTAATCTGAGCTTCTTACCTATTCTTGAGTTTCTGTTATAATCACCCTGAGGAAAATTTAGAGTTAATGTAACATGCCTGTGATCAGATAGTTAATTAAAGGTTGTATCCAGATTACATAGCTAAAAATATTGTATTTTAGAGTGTATTAATTTGATTAACATCTAAATTTGGGGAAAAGGAATAATTAATTATTAAGTCAGAGGTTGGACGATCATAGCACATGGCCCACAGGAGGACACTTTTGAGAGTGACAATGGGTGCTACTAATAAATGCACCAAAATCCCTTCTGTGCAATTGTGGGACTGTCATAGGAAAAGTACAAATGATTATATAACTTGTAGCCACCAGAAGCAATACTTCAGAAATACTCTTTGTAGGGGCCAGGGATTTAGCTCAGTGGTTTCGCTGCCTGCTGCGCAAGCGCAAGGACCCGAGTTCGATCACCGGTACCGAAAAAAAAAAAAAAAGAAAGAAAGAAAGAAAGAAAAAAAAGAAATACTCTTTGTAGAAACACAAATTTCAGTTTCTAATTTTTAATAAAAATAATCCTGGGCGGAAGAAGGTATATTTAGGATGTGCTTTCCAGCTGGGCACCTTCCTTAAAGACTGTGTAATAAGAACCAGTTCCCATCTCACCTCTTCCCCGCTAACAATGTCCTCCCACTAACTGTCACTTGGTCCACATATAACAATTAAACTGCTACAATCAATCAGTTGCTTAAAAGAAAAAAAAAAGAGTGACTTCATCGCACAAATGTATCTAGTGTTGTCTTCAGTCTCTAATGTCTGCTTATTGCTGATTGCTGCATTACAGTTGCTCCGTTCTGCTGCTGATTGGTCTGCTGGTATAAAGTACCATGAGGAATCTATCCACAGTGCTTACACCTATGTGATAGAGAACAGCAAGCACTATATTTATATTGAAGTAAGTACTGCTCATATAAATTTTTAGGGAACTTACTTCCCATAAATATCACAGAGAGACTGTACAGTCTCCAATTCAAGACCTGCCATAATTTTAAGTATGTAATGAACAATAAGTGTATGTTGAAGCAATGAATGAGTGCTGGAGAACTGCTGATTCATTTCACTTGAGTTTTTACCTCCGCAACATATGCCAAATTCACTCTGCATTGTCATTAACTCAAGACTATAATGAGAGTCTTCTAAATCCTTGCCATTAAAATGTATCAACTGACTATAATATTATTCGCCAGAAATACCCCAACATGATTTGATTTTGGCTTTGATTTTGATTTGGCTTGGGTGAGAGGGTTTTGATTTGGCTTGAGTGGGAGGGTTTGAGTGTGAGGTGTGCTATTTCAGGACAGTGCACATAAGCAAGTAAATTGCTGAAGCAGAGGCCACTGGATGTCACTAGTTTGGGGATAGTTGGAGTAGGGAGAGTGCATGGGAAATTTTGTGCTACAGGTGCACTGTTGTGGGTGTATAATACCCACATTTATTTTTAGAATATTTCTATTGATGAATTATTAATTTTAATTCTATGAATTTTACTGTATTAAACAATGAATATTTAACAGGAAAAATATTTTTTGAACTATTGAATTTTTAATATTTATTGAATTTATAAGCTTCAAAATTTTCAACATCTACTGTTTTTTGGTGTACAAAAACAACAAAATAAATTCCTATATGAACTACAATGAAAATTCCAATAGAACTCTGCAACAAAAATAATCTTTACTTCAATTATCACACCTAAGGCTGTCTTCAGACATGTCAGTAGCATGTTTCATACACACGTATCGCTTACACTGACAGCATATGTGTTTTGCTTTCCTGGCCTTTTTGTAGGACATACTTGACATCTTGCTGGTCTTGCTGTTTTGAGAGGAGGTTCTTATTATATTATATAATGTATAGTTAACAAGAACATAAAATATCAATAAAATAAAGTATTAAATTTTTAATATGTATGGTCTGTTTAGAAATAAACATTAACGTTTTCACATCACTGTAAATGCTTACAAAACCTAAAAGATAACATCAGAAATTAATTCCTATATGAGCTACAATCAAAATAGTAAATGCTTACAAAACTTAAAAGATAACATCAGAAATTAATTCCTAAATGAACTACAATCAAAATACCAATAGAACTCTACAACAAAAATAATCTTTGCACACTGACAGCACATGTACTTAGCTTTACTTTCCTGTGTGGCAGGCCATTCTTGTCACCTCTCTTGTCTTCCTCTTTTGTCAGGAGTTTCTTACTCTACTGTACAAGATACACTTAGGAGGAAAATAGGATATCAATAAAATAAAACAAATTTGTAATGAGTACTTAGAATAGACATCAACATTTTCACATCAGCTGTTTTCTTGCTTACAAAACCTAAAAGATAACATCAGCAGTAAAAACCTATGTGAACTACAAAGTAAATACAAACAAGACTACCACAGAAATAATCTTTGCTTCAACTGCTACACCTAAGGCAGTCTTCACACACGACAACTGCATGTTCCATGCACAAGTATAGCTTACACTGATAGCACATAACTTTTCTTTTCTTGTCCTCTTTTGTAGGGCACAATTGACATCTTTTTGGTTTTCTTGTTGTCATAGTAGGTCTTTGTGATGTTGCACTTGCTGGTTTACCTATTAGCTCACCAGTGTGCTCCACAATTTTTTTACATGGTTCCCTGGGTGGAAACATTTTGTTCTTCTTCTGCTATAAATGATCTCTTATGAGTTCCAATCCTGATCCGCTAAGAAAATTTCTTTGTGATATTTTGTACAGTTATTTTTTGTGTAAATTATCAAACTATTTATGCCACACATGTTTAGGATCTAGCAAAGCACAACCATCGGCCAATGCTTTGTGTTTTGAGTGACATTGTAGTGCTGCTAACTCATCAATAGCATCTACTCTGCCTTTGGTACTCCCTTCCTTCCCCTTTGTTCAACTGTAAATGCCACACCACCCTAATATATTACCTAAAGCTACAGTGACCACAAAACGCTGCAAGATGTTCACCAGTAGTCATTTATTCAGATGGTATGTAAATTGCCTGACCTTTTGAAACAAAACTCTCAAACAATAAGCAGATAGCAGTCAAATTATAAGTTCTTTTTTTTTCTTGGTGAATGAATTTGAAAGAAACCAAATCTCAGTGTCATTATTATTATACAAACCTGAAGCCACACCTATAAGTCTTTGACATTCGTAAGTCTTTTACATTACTGTGATTACCATGAGAAATCCCTGCTAAATACAGCAGATGTATGAATGCTTTCAGTTCTGCTAGTGAAATGTCATAATAAACATTTTTGAGTATGGCTATTGGTGCATACAGAATATTTTACTTGTATTTCATCATTTGTGTATTTCACAACATCTGTAGCTTTTTGTCTGTTACACTTTCCAACATTGAATGACAGTGCTGGCATTCTGTCCAATAGATTTCACCCCTGCCAAGATCCTCAAAATATATTTTCAGACATAGTTCTAACTGGATTGCTCCATTTGATTGCATGACCAATTTGCACCATTTTGACTAGTCAAATATGTACTATCATTGCTACTTTCTTCATTATCTAAATCAGGGAAGTATTCATTCCTGTGTCTGTATAAACCGATTCTGGCTCCGTTTCACTGTCACAAGAACTTTGAGTCACATGGCCAATGTCATCATCTGTGCATGAGTCACTTGATGATTCATTTTTGACCTCCAAAACTTGCAAGTCTGGTTTTTCATATGCCATTGTACTGAATTGGGCTACTTCTACCAGCAAAATCAAAAGAAAATGTTTTTTAAAAACAAATCCTAAATGCACACTTGTTGCTGCTTTGGAGCTCCTGTACACACCTTGCCATTCATCTGCTAAGAAGGTGAATGCACAGGTGGGGTTCCTGCTGTCACCACACCCAGATGCTGTGAGCCACGCCCACAT